AAACGTCAGCTTTCCTGCTCCTCTGATGCTGCTTGGCCTGCTGCGTTCATCCAGCTCTACACCTTGTTATCTAAGATTAAAAGTTCCTGGGCTAATAAAGGGAAAAACCACAAGTAAACATAGGATCCAAGAATCACCACAACATAACCTTGAACATTTCATTTTTAACAATGGGAGGCTGAGATAATACCTTGTAAAGGGTAAATTCCTGTCACTTGTTAGAAATTCAAAGTTAATTATTGGTGAAATTTTTTGACTGTTTCTTCTTTTCAATATAGGCCATTCTGGCTGTCTCCACGTCAGATTATGGTAATCCCTGATGGACCAGCCTGTGAGGAGTATGGTCAGAGGGTGAGCAGAGCTGAATGTAACACTTTATATATCTTTGTCTTCATATATCTTTATGTAAAGCAATCTTTAACCCTACTTCTTTTAGGTTTGTCAAGAGTTTGTTGAAGCAGGTTTCATGGCCGATGTGGACCTTGATCCTGATGTCTTGTTGAATAAGAAGATCCGAAATTCTCAGCTTGCTCAGTATAATTTCATTCTAGGTAAATAAAATCAGATGCTCCCATTATACTTTGAAGATCCAATTTTTCCAGTCTCTGCATCTCTCTTTCCCTCTCTTTGCATGGTCTTGAATATGTTGGGCCCAATTCCCAAAGGATCCCTTTCACAATCAGTCTTGTCCATGTGGCTATTTGGTTTGTAGTCGCTGTGGGATGTGGAGAGATTCTATTCAAGTTCCTTATTCAAAATGCGTAAATCACATGGTGTCCCAGTGTGTCAACCATTGTACCCACAAGTTGGTGCGGTGCACTGTTGTTTTAACTTGTAATGTTGGTAATGTGGAGTCGAATGGAATGATCGAGGTTGAGATCCTCCACTGCAGTAAGTTTCATTTCTCACTATGCTTGGAGTTGGATCACATAGGATTCAGGGAAAGCTTGTTAATTGGATACAAAATTGGCTTGACGGTAAGATACAGAGGGTGGTGGTGGAGGGTTGTTTTTTGGACTGTAACCAGCAGTTTTCCACAGGGATCAGTGTTGGGTCCATTGTTATTTGTCATTTATATAAACAATTTGGATGAGAATTTAGGAGGCATAGTTAGTAAGTTTGTGGATGACACCAAAATTGGTGAAATAGTTGTCAGTGAAGAAAGTTATCTAAGATTACAAAGGTATTTTGATCAATTGGGCCAATGGCCTGAGGAGTGGCAGATGAAGTTTTGTTTGGATAAATGAAAGATGCTGCGTTTTTGTTAAAGTGAACGAGGGCAAGACTGACGCAGTTAATAGTAGGACCCTGGTAGTGTAGGGGTTCAGGTACATAGTGCTTTGAAATTTGAGTGACAGGTAGACAGGGTGGTTAAGAGGCGTTTAGCATATTTGTCTTCATTACATTGAAGTTATACATGACATTTGTGAGACCAGTTTTGGAGTATTGTTTACAGTTCTGGTGAACCTGTTATAGGAAGGCTATTGTTAAATTGGAGAAGGTTCAGAAAAGATTCTCCAGGATGTTGCCAGGACTGAACAGTTTGAGTTATAAAGAGTGGCTGGATAGGCTGGGACTTCTTTCACTGGAGCTTGAAGGGTGACTTTTGTTATGAGCCAGACCAGACCCCCTCAAAATATTTTAAGAAGACAGCCTAACATTTTCTTACTTTGGAGTTGGGACGTCACGTTGAAGGCGTACAGGACATTGGTTAGGCCACTTTTGGAATACTGCATTCAATTCTTGTCTCCCTGCTATGGGAAGGATGTTGTGAAACCTGAAAGGGTTCAGAAAAGATTTACAAAGATTTGCCAGGCTTGGAGGGTTTGAGCTGTAGGGAGAGACTGAATAGACTGGGGCTAATTTCCCTAGAGAGTTGGAGGCTGAGGGGTGACCAATGAGGTTTATAAAATTATGAGGGGCATGGATAGGATGAATAGCCAGGGTGGGGGGAAGTTCGAAACTAGAGGGCATAGGTTTAAGAACATAAGAACTAGGAGCAGGAGTAGGCCATCTGGCCCCTCGAGCCTGCCCTGCCATTTAATAAGATCATGGCTGATCTTTTTGAGACTCAGCTCCACTTACCCGCCCGCTCACCATAACCCTTAATTCCTTTACTGTTGAAAAATTTGTCTAACCTTGCCCTAAAAACATTCAGCGAGGTAGCTTCAACGCTTCACTGGGCAGGGAATTCCACAGATTCACAACCCTTTGGGTGAAGAAGTTCCTCCTGACCTCAGTCCTACATCTGCTTCCCTTTACTTTGAGGCTATGCCCCCTAGTCCTAGCCTCACCTGCTAGTGGAAACAACTTCCCTGCCTCCACCTTATCTATTCCCTTCATAATCTTATATGTTTCTATAAGATCTCCCCTCATTCTTCTAAATTCCAATGAGTATAATCCCAGCCTATTCAGTCTCTCCTCATAATCCAACCCTCTCAACTCTGGAATCAACGAGTGAATCTCCTCTGCACCCCCTCCAGTGCAAGTATATCCCTTCTCAAGTATGAAGACCAAAACTGCACACAGTACTCCAGGTGTGGCCTCACCAGGACCCTATACAGCTGCAGCATAACCTCCCTGTTTTTAAACTCCATCCCTCCAGCAATGACAGACAAAATTCCATTTGCCTTTTTAATTACCTGCTGCACCTGCAATCCTACTTTTAGCGATTCATGCACAAGGACACCCAAGTCCCTCTGCACAGCAGCGTGCTTCAATTTTTTACCATTTAAAACATAGTCCATTTTGCTGTTATTCCTATCAAAATGGATGACCTCGCACTTATCAACGTTGTACTCCATCTGCCAGACCTTTGCCCACTCACTTAGTCTATCTATATCCCTCTGCAGACTTTCAGTGTCTTCTGCACACTTTGCTCTACCACTCATCTTAGTGTCATCTGCAAATTTTGACACACCACACTTAGTCCCCAACTTCAAATCATCTATGTAAATTGTAAACAATTGAGGTCCCAACACTGATCCCTGAGGCACACCACTAGCCGCTGACGGCCAACCAGAAAAACACCCATTTACCCCTACTCTTTGTTTTCTACTAGTCAACCAATCCTCTATCCATGCCAATACATTACCTGTAATACCGTGGAACTTTATCTTATGTAGCAGCCTTTGGTGTGGCACCTTGTCAAATGCCTTCTGGAAATCCAGATACACCACATCCACAGGTTCCCCATTGTCCACCATGCAAGTAATGTCCTCAAAGAATTCCACCAAATTAGTTAAACATGACCTACCCTTCATGAACCCATGCTGGGTGTTCACAATGGGACAATTTATATCCAGATGTCTTGCTATTTCTTCCTTAGTGATAGATTTAAGGTGAGAGGGGTAATATTTAAATGGGACCTAAGGGCAACGTTGTCACACAGAGGGTGATACGTGTATGGAATGAGCTGCCAGAGGAAGTGGTAGAAGCTGGTACAACTACAACATTTAAAAGGCACCTGGGTAGGTATATGGATAGCAACGGTTTAAAGGGATATGGGCCAAGTGCTGGCAAATGGGACTAGATTAATTTAGGATATCTCAGCAGATCTGGCAGCATCTGCGAAGGAAAAAACAGTTAACATTTCGGGTCTGGTGACCCTTCCTCAGACCCTTCCCAGTTTTGTGGAGGGGTCACTGGACCCGAAACATTAACTCTGTTTTTTCCTTCACAGATACTGCCAGACCTGCTGAGCTTTTCCAGCAACTTTGCTTTTGTTCCTGATTTACAGCATCCACAGTTCTTTAGGTTTTTAATTTAGGATATCTCATTGGCATGGACAAGTTGGACCGAAGCATCAGTTTCCATGCTGTACAGCTCTATGACTCTAAATGTAACATGCTGTGTTCCAGATGCAACGTGACTGGTCAAACTACTCAACGTTAGGCAATACACAATTTATTTAAACACAGTACTTAAAATACAACTAGAGAAAGAGGAATTCAAATTAACTCAACTCTGTTGGAAACTTGACACAATAACAGATACAGTAACTATTATTCATAAGCTGTTCCAATATAGTAACATCCTATAAACACACCCCTTGACAAAAAGGAAAATTTAGACACAAATTCTCGCATGTAGTTCTCCCATTCAGGAGGTAAAAGATATCAAGAGAAAATTCATAGAGAGTAGCAGTTGGGAGACATTCTCTGAAGCTTCCAACTCTGTTGAGACCCCAATAGTTGCTGATGCTACTGAAAAACCAAAACCCAGAAATCGTAATCTGCGAGAACTGGTCACACCCATGCAGGCTGTTTAAAGAAGAAACCAAGATCTCCCAAGATGTTTACTCAAGTGGTCTTAACTAGCCAGCTCAGTATCTCTGCCTTACAACCTCTCTTGTTAAAAAAAAAATAACCAGGACAAAATAACCTTTTAAGTGATAGCATTGACACACACTTTATAGAGGTTTATAAAATCATGAGGGACATACATAAGGTGACAAGCAAAGATCCTTTCCCTAGGATGGGGGTGTTCAAAACTAGGGGGCATATTTTTAATGTGAGAGAAGAAAGATTTTAAAGGGACCTGAGGGGACAGCTTTTTCACACAGAGGGTGGTTTGTATGTGGAATTACTGTCAGAGGAATAGTAGATGAAGCTACAGTACAACATTTAAAACACATGTGGACATGTACATGAATAGAAAAGGTTTAGAAGGACAGGGACCAAAAGCAGGCAAGTAGGACTAGTTTAGTTTAGGAAACTTGGTTGGCGTCGACAAGTTGGACCAAAGAGTCTGTCTCCATGCTGTATGAGTGTATGACTGTTGGACAGAGGTGTCTCCAACATGAAGGTGTTGGGGCTAATAGCTAAGGGTGTGTCAACATGGAAATTTCAGGATGGAAGGAGCGAGGTGTCTCAGAAGTTCATATTTCTAAAGCTTCTGCTACCAGAGGATAGCATTGCCCCATCTGCAACAACACAACTGAATCAGAAGGAACAACAGGTAGCCCTTATTTAATAGAGATAGTAGGAACTGCAGATGCTGGAGAATCTGAGATAACAAGGTGTAGAGCTGGATGAACACAGCCTGCTGTGTTCATCCAGCTCTACACCTTATCATCTTAGCCCTTATTCAATGTTATGTTTCTTCAGAATTGTTACTCTATCTGGAATGGCCTTCAGAGAATCATAGGTTCCCATAGGAAACTGTGTTAAAGCCAATGTTGTATTCCTTTGGATGTTATCTTGCCCCAAAAAGCTAATGTATAAGTTGAGCTACTTTACCAGAGAAGTGCAGCACAGTGCATTCCTAGCTGAAGTGACTTAATGGATGAATGATTTATTTATTGTCACATATGTCTTTAGGGTACAGTGAAAAGTGATTTGTCACCACAATCCAGCACCATGTGAGGTACAATAAGGATAAAAAGAAATTACTTAAGTAAGAGTTCATCTTGCAAAGTAAAGTAGACCACTGCAAATAAGAAAAATACTGCATTACTACACTTTGTTTGAAAATGGTATTGAATGTACCAAATACATGTTTCCAACCACAATCCCATAATTTGCAAACAGTACCACAGTACTCCATATGTTAGCACTGAATCAGTGCTGATTAGTTGTGAGCTATTATAAATTAAGTCCTTGTTGATATAACTTTATTTCCATTATTAAGTGCATGACATTCCCCTCTACCATAGAAACTCTTGTTTAATTGGTACTTCATCTTAAAAATGACTCCGTACACAACATGAGGTTGGTGGGATATTCCTGTTGATTCCTCTGTATGATGCCTGGGCAGTTTTCTGTCTCGGAAATTCATTGAATTAATGGTTGTACTTCCTATCTGACACCAGCAGCAATGACACAAGCTGAAATCTAGCTTTTCCATTTACTCATCTCTCTGAATCTAATGATCACATCGTACTAGATCACTAGAGGGCTGTGATCAGGGCTACTGATCTGAGGAATACACCATGTAAAACCAGAAATGCCAATCTAACAATGAAACGGGCTCTTCAAAAAAGTCCAACCATTGCCCCATTTCATGTTACAATGTTAAACCAGGGATATCTGTATAATGGAGATAAAATTGGGCAGAATTCAGTAAAGGTTTATTAAGTTGTGACCTACACAAGAGTGTGAGTGAAGATGAAAACAACGAACAACAACCAGAATAACTGTGTTAAAGCTTTTATTTACTGCAAGAAACGGTGACGCAGTCACCCTTGAATACTGGAACCTGTACTGTTGTCTTGATTTGTTTAAATGTTTGCTACAGGAATTTTGTTGCACAGTCAGTGAACTAGACTGGAAATTGAGTAACTTTTAATAAAATCTCTCTGCCTGTAGTGGTCGGGGAGAGGGAGAAAGCAAATCATTCGGTTAGTGTCCATACAGGAGACAGCAAGGTACATGATGAACTCTCTGTGGTTGCAACTATAGAGAAAATGAAGCATTTGCAGCAACTACGTAAAATGAGGGCTGAAGAGGACTTCTAACTGCCCATCTTTACGTTGAATGGATGATAGTCAACAGTGAAAAACATTGAAAGAACTATTTAAAATAAACCTCATTAATTGAAGCTTCATTGTTCATGTTCTGGACTGGAAGGAATTCTGTATAAGTGTGAAACATGGCTAATCCAATTTTGGTATTTATCTGTAGTTTAATGAAATTGTTTGAGATATTTTTAGTTATGTCTAACAAAGATTCAGTAACTTGTTTGTGGAAACTGCTTTCACAACTGGTGCTCCAATTCCATTGCATGAAGGAAATAAAGGTAAATGTAATCACAGAAACAAAAACAAGAGTTTGTTTTTATCGAATTTTGTGCAGCTCTCTGGTTTCCTGGCTTTATGACTCATCTTCTGATGGCTTAGTGTGTGAGACATACACTTGGTCTGGTTTTGAGATATATGGATTGCAAGGTTCACTTCATGTAGGTCTGTGCTGAGATTACTGATCTTTCTATATTACAAGTTCAAGTATTGATTCTGAAAGCTATGGCTGTCTTTCCATGGTTCATTTACATCACACTGAGCTCTAGAATGCATCAGCAGCAGAATTGCACTTAAGCACAATCTGTAACCTCAAAGCCCAGCATATCTCCCACTCAACCATTACCATCTAGCCAAGGCGTCAATCCTGGTTCAATAGAGTGTCCAGGAGCAGCACCAGGCATATCTTAAGAATGAGGTGTCAACCTGGTGCAGCTGCCAAACAGCATAAACAAAAAGTGATGGACAGAGCTAAACGATCCTGCAGCCAATAGATTAGATCCAAGCTCTGCAGTTCTGCCACATCCAGTCATGAATAGTGGTGGACAATTAAACAACTCACTGGAGGAAGATGTTCCACAAATATTCCCATTGTCAATGATAGAACAGCCCAACACATCAGTGCAAAAGATAAGGCTGAAGCATTCAAAACAGTCTTCGGCCAGAAGTGCCAAGTGGATAATCTATCTCAAAAAATAAAACCCAAAGAACTGCGGAAGCTGGAAATCAGTTCAAAAGAAGGCTCACTGTACCGAAATGTTAAGTCTGCTTTCTATTTCCAGATGATCCATTTCGGCCCCCCCGACAAGTAGCTTCCAGCATTACAGATACCAGTCTTTAGTCAATTTGATTCATATATCAAGAAATGGTTGATAATGTTCTGGGGACCCAGGTTCGAATCCCACCACGGCAGATGGTGGAATTTGAATTCAATAAATATCTGAAATTAACAGTCTAATGATAGCTGTGAATCCATTGTCGATTGTCAGGAAAAACCCATCTGGTTCACTAATGTCCTTTAGGGAAGGAAACTGCCATCCTTACCTGGTCTGGCCTACATGTGACTCCAGACCCACAGCAATGTGGTTGACTCTGAACTGCCCTCTTGGCAATATTGGGGTGGGCAATAAATGCTGTCTAGCTGGCGATGCCCTCATCCCGTGAATGAATAAAGAAAAAAAAATATTGCTCAGGCTATAGGCCCTGACAAGATTCTGCAACTTGTGAACACTTATGCTCCAGAACTCGCTGCTCCCCTAGCCAAGCTCTCCCAGTACAGATACAACACTGGCATCTACCTGACAATGGGGAAAGTTTCCCAGCTATATCCTGTACATATAAAGCAGGACAAATCCAATTCAGCCAATTACCACCCCATCAGTGTACTGTTGATCACCAGTGAAGTGATGGAAGGTGTCATCAACAGTGTCGTCGAGCAGCACCTGCTCAGCAATAACCTGCTCAGTGACGCCCAGTTTGGGTTCTGCCATGACCAAGACCAAACATAGACAAAAGAGCTGAATTCGAGGTGAAGTGAGAGTGACAGCCATTGAGATCAAGGCCACTTTCGACCAAGTATGGTATCAAGCAGCCCCAGCAAAGTTGCAATCAGTGGGTACTGGGGCAAAGGCATTGTGCTTGGAGTCATACTTGGCATGTAGAGAGATGGTTGTGATTGTTGGAGGTCAGTCATCTCAGCTCCAGGACACCTTTGTAGGAGTTCCTTAAAGCAGTGTCCTGAACTCAACCATCTTCAGCTGCTTCATCAATGAGCTTCCCTCTACCATAAGGTTAGAATTGGGGATGTTCACCAATGATTGCACAATGTTTGGCACAGTTCACGACACCTCAGATCCTGAAGCAGCCCATATGCAGATGCAACAAAATCAGGCTTGGGATGGCAAGTGTCAAGTAAACCTTGCGCTACACATATATCAGGCAATGACTATCAACCCTTGAGATTCAATGGTGGTATCATCATTAAATCCCACTTCCTATTAACATCCTGGGGGCTACCATTAACCAGAAATTCAACTGGACTTGCCACATAAACACAGGTTATAGAGCAGGCTAGAGGCTAGGAATACTGCAGCAATTAACTCACCACCTGACTTCCCAAAGCCTATCCATTATCTACAAGGCACAGGTCAGGAATGTGATGGAATGGTCCATGACCACTTTTATCTAGAAGAACAGATATATGGGAGCACTACCACCTGCATGTTCCCTTCCAAGCCACTCACCAGACTGATTAGGAAATATATCACTGTTTCTGGGCCAGAATCCATGAATTCCCTAAGAGTGTTGTTGGTCAGCCTATAGAACGTGGACAGCAGGAGTTACCATAACATTGTCAAGGGCAATCAGGGATGGCAATAAATACTGGCCAGCCAGATATGCCCATATCTCATAAATCTCATGCGCGAATAATAAAAAGAAGATGCAGTTCCATTTCTCAAACTCCTTTTTTCCACTCTTCAGAATCTGGGATAGTGTAGAAAGCACAAATCAGTTATGAACTAGCCATTATTCATCATTCTCTGTTATTGGTACCAATTGGGAGTAGATTAATTTTATTGGTGTGACCTTAAAGGGGCAGAAGAAGTAGTCCAACTGAAGCAGTCCATGTTCAAATGGAACAAGATCTGGATAATAGCCAGACTTGGGTTGACAAGTGGCAAGTAACATTATACCACACAAATGCCAAGCAATGACTATCTCCAGTAAGAGACAATCTAATCACCAACCCTTGACATTCAATGGTGTTACTATCCCTGAATCCCACAGTATCAACATCTTTTGGGAAACCGTTGATCAGAAACTTAACTGGACTTGTCACATAAACACAGTGGCTTCAATAGTAGGTCAGAAGCTAGGATTACTGCAGCAAGAACTCCCCTCCTGACTCCCAGAGCCTGTCCACCATCTAAAAGCCGCAAGACAGGAGTGTGATAGAATGCTCCCCACTTGCCTGATGGGTGTTGTTGCAAAAGCACTGAATTAGCTTGACAAACCAGCCCACTGGACTGGCAACACATTCATTCTTTCCATGACCAACACTCAGTAGCAGCAGTGTGTACTATCTACAAGATACACTGCACAAATTCACCAGGCATCCTTAGACAGCACCTTGCAAACCTAGGATTACTTCCATCTAGAAGGACAAGCGCAGCAGATATGTGGGAACACCGCCACCTGCAAGTTCCCCTCACAATCCTGACTTGGAAATATACCACGGTTCCTACATTGTCATTGGATCAAAATCCTGGAATTTCCTCCCTAAGGGCATGTGGGATTTGGACTGCAGCAGTCAAGAAGGCAGCTAGGGATGGACAATAAAAGTGCTGGCTACCCAGCAATGTCCACAACCTGAATTGAAAGTGTTCAGATAGAGCACTGTGCCCCTTGTTTAACATGCCCCCCACCCCAACTTGTAGAAGCGATTATTGATCTTGGGAGCATTTTTATTGACTTCAATGGAAAAGGTTTCATCTTGGCAGTGTGGAGACTTCTGAGTCAATGTATTTTGCTTTTAGGGTGCCCTATTCCTGGTCTCCAAACTAAAGAACTATTTGCTTAGCCACCTAGTTTTCAATTTGCACTCATTGGTTTTGTATGTTAAAATTATAGTGATTTGTTGGGTCTAGCTAATTCTATGCTTTTCTAGAAGGAGTGGGAAAGGAGAAAGTATTAGGGTCTTTGATGTGCAAGTGTCTCCAGGCTGACATCTCTGCTGGAAATTTGGAACCAGGTATACGTGCTGTGGCTTTGTCAGTCTGTTTCTGGCCATGACCTTGGCTGGCTGCTCATGAGTTCCAATGCTTTATTTATTCAACCTGCAAATGTTTTGAACACACTTCTGTTTTGGGACTGTAGCCCTGACTTTTGTCATCCTGAGCTCTGGGTTTCTGGGTGTACAGGATAGGCCAAAGAGCTAAAAGTTGATGTTGATATTCGACAGCTGCATCAGAAAAGAGATTGCACAGGATGCGCTGAAGGGCTGAAATTGTTGATGGTACTCAACAAGCTCTATGACCTTGAATGAGACCTGTGAACATTCCTTTTTGAACCAAAGATGACACCTGCAGCTTGTTTTCCCATCCTGTGTTTTCTATACCAATCAGCAGTTTTGTCTTTCTGTATCTACTTTCTTTGTTCTGGCTGTTTGTTACACCGTATAAGAGAGAGAAAGTTTCGTTCCAAGGCATGGGCTTTCGCCTCAGCTTGGAATTGTGAATGGTGCTAGGAATGAACCTAAGCTGCGAGGAAGCCATTGATCGAGAGGCCCCTGATGGGCAGAAGGGCATGAGAAACCGAGACATATAAATAATAAGTGGGACAGAACACCAATGTTTCACTGGAGGCGCACTGATGATGTTACCTAGCAGGGCGATGAAATGTCTGCAACCAAACACACCGGCTCAGCGAGCAAGTCTACAAACATTCATGTTTAAGCAAATTGCTGTTAGGCGAGCCTTCTCATATTAAATTTACCCGAATCTGAAAAGAACTGCTTGGATACTCACTGTAATCCAAGACACTGGTTTAGATTGGCAGTGCATGGTACCCTGTAGTTTGTGGGCACAGTGTAGCTGCATGTAGGAAATTATAGCAGGGACAGTTTCCATGAGTATCTGGCAACTTGCTGACAAATTCTACGACATTTCTTAAAGAAAAATGCAATGCAAATGTGTGTGCAGATAGTATATTGCTTTCAGTACAAAATTAATTATTGTATGGTGCTCCTAGACTGTGCTTCCCCAGAAAAGTAGACTTGGTGAAAAAGCTGATACGTGAACCCATGTCTCAGTCAGTGAAACATCCCAATTGATATTTCCACCTAAAATTTTTGTTAGTTCCCAGGAAGTCCAGTTCTAAAACACGTGGATGTATGTAGAGGGAGCATTGCTTCAGAACTCAAGCATTCAGTCAGACCAGTCAATTTACCAATATTAATGAGTGTTTTAGGGATAAAAATAATTTCAGCAAAATATGTGGATTAATTAAAACCAATGAAGATTTGC